GAGATCTGAGGTTGGCTGGTAGGGTGGACCTCTGCGCATAATCACATGTGTGTGCAAACATTGCCACGGCTCGATTTGTGTGTGTGTGTGTGTGTGTGTGTGTGTGTGTGTGTGTGTGTGTGTGTGTGTGTGTGTGTGTGTGTGTGTGTTTGAGGTGGAAAGGGTGTGGGGGTGTTAGTTGAGACTCAGACAGGCAGCATCCCGTCCCGAGAGCTGATGAAAGAAATACGCCTGGTAGGCAATCCCACCATAACTCTGATTTTCATTTTGGAGATCGAGAGGAGCTGTTATTGGGAGTGATGGGGTTGGGCAATTTGCAATGCAAAGATGGAACGATGACGGCGCAAAGCGCAGCTCAGCTGCAGTGGGGCTCTTCTGCCATCTAGCTTCGGAAGAGTCGCCGACCTCTGCTTTGAAACGGACAGGAAACGGGGAGCAGTGACGCGAGAGGCCGTGATTGCACATAGAATGAACATCATTATGTTTGTAACACATTCGGATAGAGCTGCTTCAAGAGCGGTTAACTCCAACACACAAAAATTCACTTCCTATTTTTACGACACATTTCCTGGATTGCAGTGAACATCCAACACCCTCAAGTTTCGACTGTGTGAGAGCAGCAGCTCTGAACAGAGCTTGAATATCAGATCGGACTCAAATCAATTGTGCATAACTCCGGTTTGAACATGGCCCAATTAATAACTGCAGTTTCAATGACCTCTATAAAAATCAATATTTTTTCCTTATTGATTAGATTTATTTTGGTCAAATCAGCAGGGTAAGGTCATAAGGAAATTAAGAAGAAGCAAAAAAAAAAGAAAAAAAAAAGCTTTTAGTAGAGTAAGAGAGCTGTCCGTGGTGCTGAAACTAAAAACCAGCGCCTTGTTAGGGAAAGCAACTGATGTTTTTATCATTTAAAACGACATGGCCAAAAATATTAAACTTTAATTTAATACTTAATACATACATTAATACCTTTTTAACACATTCAAACTGTTTATACAAAGAAATAAAAAAAGAAAGGGACAAGTAAGTTTAAATCTGCATCATGATAATCATCTCTTTTCATGTCTCCGTGTACAAGGTTAGACAGGATGAACTTCACACTCATAACCCTTCAGTCCATTGGGAGAGCAAATGGGGAAAACAGCTTGATCCTGTTCTAATCTTCCCTAATTATTAGGCTGCAGAGGGCAATGGGATTGTTGTCCTTCAGCCAGATAAACAGCAAAAACATAATTCAGCTCTGCAGGCCAAACGGTGGGGAATCAGGATTTCTAATTACAACTCTACAAGATTCATTGGGGATTTTTGTCCTGTAAATAGCTGTAACACTTTATCGCCATCGTATTTCGCGAATTGCATTTTATTCCCTGTTTATTGTGCGTCTAAGAAATGTATTGTAGTTCTTTGTGAAAATCTTATTCTACATGTTTCTGTGGACAGCTAGATATTAATCTATCTCTTTCTACCCCATACAAACTGAATCGCTACCACATGAGCGATAGATTTGTATCCTTGCTCCATTTCTCTGTAGAGTTGTTTATCGCAATGGTTTATGCTGCAGAGGAAAACCGCTGCATATCTGGCAGTGTGAAGTGGAAGGTCCCACATTCCCTCCTGGCATCAGAATTCTTCAGGTGTCTACAGGCTCAACAGAGGCTGCTGGGAATGCATTGAGGCACTAGGCGGCTTGTCTTCGCCACTGTAATCGACAGGTGGGCCCAGGAGAGTGGGCTTCAGTCGTATTGATGCATCTCGCCAGCTCGCCCTTGCTGCTTGATGAGCAATCAGACAGCCTCCTGCCTGATCCTCCTGTTGTTTTTGTGTGCATTTGTGGGTGTGTGCTCACCTCTGTGTATTAATAGTTCATAAATGCTAAATGGAACATGCATCCTCCTGTGCTTGCATACATCTGTGCGAGCATGGATGAGTATTCTGTGGGAATAGGGGCGCATTTGTGCTAATATTTATGGACTTAAGTTCAAAGGCATCTGCTAAAGGTACCTTTACGTACTTACTACTGGAACAGGAAGCCCGGGGGCCAGTTTACTAACCATCCAGATAATCAGTCAGCTGAATAAAAAGCCACTCAGACTGCTCTAACTCTTAGGGAGCAAATAGGTTGTTGTACTAGTGAGTATGCTCAGCATTTTCTTATTACACCTGGAAAGATTTCCGTGTCACACACAGGTCAAAGGCCTCCTGCATTCCCACAGGGGGGCTAGCTAACGGGATTTCTACCATTGCAGCGTATCCCGCATTCTGTGTATGCATGAGTGCGTGCACATGTTTGAATAAAAGTGTCAAACCGCTTGTGTGCATGTAACGCATATACCCTTCAGTATGTGTCTGCTTTCATGAACACATATTGTGGTGGTATAGGCCTTGGCATTCACATCTAAGTTGAGATCTTCACGCCTGGGTTGTATTTTGTTTGCGTGTGTGTATGTGTGTCTGTATGTACTGGGGCAAAGTGCAACTGTGAGGGCGTTGATAGAGTAAGCACTGGGGTCGGATTAGCTGACTTGACTTCCCTAGAGGAATATTTCTGAATCTGGCCTCTCTCACACTACCACTAATCCACTGCTGGGTTCAGCTGCTCCATTGCTCTAGGTGTGCACCTACAGTACACAAGCGGCAAGGGGAAGGTAGGTGGGGCAGGTGAAAGGAGTAGAGGGAAGATATGTGTGCATGTGGGTAAGAGGGTAGAGGGGATAGAGATGGAATCAGAGTTGCCGTGTCTGTGACAGTGGGTATTTTTGGGGCTCAAATAAAATCATACCAGGATTCTTTTTCTTTTTTCTTTTTTTTTAAGCATTCTTAGTGCTCATGGAGCCCCCCAAAAATGGCCATTCATGCTTATGTGTACATTTGCATACATTTTTATGTCTTTTGTAAAGTCAGCCAACATCCCAGTGCTTCTGTGCTAAGAGATGTAGATGGTGTAGAGGAAGTAAAAGACAGAGGCCTGGGTTTATAAAGAGGCGTGTTTCTGCAGAATCAGTCGTGCGGTGTCATGTGAATCATGCAATTAAAGAAAAACAAACCTTCATGCCTAATCCTGTATCAGGTTACATGGTGGTACAGAGACAAAAATATGCATTGACAGTTTCACTGACATGCCTAGCAAGATCATCATCAGTGCAATGCTAGCACTTTAGCTCAGGGCAACACTCTGAGCTATGAGTCATGGTACATGGTCTGAATAAATATGGATAAAAAGCAACATCAAACACATCAAAACAATTTTGATCCATTTTTAGTTGAAGAAAAAGCCTCATAAAATATGAATTACACAATATTTTGTCTTTCCTCTACACAGCCTATTGCTTACACGTATACACACTCCCTCCTTTCTCACCTTTGTCAAATCCTACCACTTTTGTCTTGTTATTACATGGAAGTTTACCACATTTTGTCTTTCCCTCATTAGGCTTTATATAGGTTTCAGTCAAATCCTGGATGACTGAGCCTGCTCATGTGCTTTGTTCACACATCTGACATTAAACATTCTTAAACCTTTTATCTTCTGAGGAAAAGTCTGAAATAGTAGGACAAGAGAGGCGGAGGCAGCTTGGGGGTGGCGATGTGCTGAGAGAGAGGAAGGGTTAAAGGTATTGATTTAGGAATGGTGTCAAACATAAAGGGGAGTGATAGAAAAGACATGTGACTATAAGAGAGTGAGAGAAAGGAAGGGCAAACAGGCAAAGGAGGGCAGGGAGGATGAATTGAGGTTGTTGGCACTGGGGGAAAAAAGACAGACGCAGGCGCAAGGGTAAAGCATTATAATAAGCAATTGAAAAATACATGTGAGGGAGCACAGAAGCACCAGTAAAAAGGGAAATGTAATGAATACTGAATCTAAATGGATACAAAAAATATGTGTTCATGAAAGAGATAACATATTTCTGGTGATACAAGAATGAGATAATATAGGGAACAGGGTGCCTTGGAGCATCGGAGTATTTTATTTTTTACATGTAAGATGAAAAGCATGCATATTGTTTGTGGGTGTGTGTGTTTACACTCAGGGTCAAACTACTTAAAATGGATAATTAACAAGATGGAAAATGTTTCCAAGTTGGCAATAATTGGCAACACTACAGACAGAAAAAAATGAAGGGAAAAAAAAAGTTGCTCGCCAAAGTCACTCCACTGCAGCAGGCCCTACTTCAAAGATGGTCTCATCATATATTGAAATGTAAAATGAAGAGTCTGGTGATACACAGACTTAATCATATGAATAAAAGATCAAAGGGAAAATTTGCTGATTGAGAAAGAGGAGGAGAGAATAAGCAAACGCTAGCGTTTTGATCCACTCCACTGAGAAAAAAACGAGTTAAACACTTTTTTTTTTTAGGAAAAAAGGTGTGTATCAGAGACTTGGAAATATGCTGAGAGTATTAATTATGCACTGGGATTATAGAGTGAGAGGTTTTTCTGACGGTCCACAAGATATGTTCATGACAGCCAAGGCTAATCACACTGCAGAATATCAGACTTAACTTTGATTATTAAGGTGTTGTGATGCTAAAATAACACCTTTAACATAGACAATTTATGCTTCAACTGCAGTTATGAGGCTTTTTAATGCGTTTCTTTGTCAAAGTTCTTGCTGAAAAGAAAAACATCCCATTTGAATTCCTTTAAAATACTGTTTGCATTTCTTAAGTACAACAACTGCAATCTGTTGCACCATAATTTCAAAGTACTTCAAAGCTTCAT